TAACGCAATAACAGGTTCATTCGAGTCCAGATGGTACGATTTTTTCAGTTGAGAACACAGAAATGAAACATTTAACCCGTTGAAATTGGGATGATATTTTCTATATTTTCAATACTGAATAGAAAAGTGATAGTGGCACGATACTTTGCAAAATACATTTTGTATCATTTTAATTCTCAATGTGGGAATATTATTGTGTATAGTGTAAAAATTAGATTGTACAATTTCTATTTATTAAAATATATACAATGCTTATTATAGCATTGTATATATTATATACTATAATTATAACATCGAATGCACAAAAGGAATATTATTTTATATAGCGGAAAAATTAGATTGTACAATTTCTATTTATTAAAATATATATTTCTATTTATGAAATATATAAAATTATAATATCGAATGCAAAAGGAATATCGCATGGTTCGCACGAAAATATTTAGCATAATGTTGATCCCGGATCTAAAACCGATACCGGAAGAAACATTTTCTGTAATTTTAATCAAGCGGATAGCCGCTGCCTGAAGCTTTTGAACGCGATGAAACAAGAAGAAAGAACGTTTCGCGCGTTGCTCACCGTAAACGGTGCGCGTTGCACAACGAAAAACAGAGGGAACTCGCAGGGATGAATTTTAAAATGCGACCGCACAGCGGAATAACACTGTTCCCGCGAGCAGACGCGGCCCGCAAAGTTTCCATACTTCCGCGATAGTGTAAGATATTCTTTGTGCGGGTCCGGCGTTTTTCTAACGGCCGCGTGTTCTTTCTCTTAATTACTTAATCCCGGCGAAATCCGAAACAATTACAAAGCCCCCGAAAAACACTGGCGGCGACACCGCCTTTAAATCAATTACGCCCACTCCCGCCCACCCGCGTTGTCAAAGCGTTTTCTAGTCTGATGAACCCGCGCGCCAGGATCTTTTGTGTCTTTTCGTTGATATTCTCTTGTCCTCCGCCTTTTAATATTTTTCCATATTTTTCGCGGCCGCACACGCGCCGAGCTTTTCGCGTTCCTTTGATACCCCGTCCGGCGCTTTCTATTTTTTGTTCCCCGATTTAAATTAAAATTTCCACGCGGCGATTTCTTGACTGGCCAAAATTTCATCGGGATTTTCAATGAAAAATTGCATCGCCGAGTCGTGCCTCGAGTCTTTTGAGCGCGATCTCCGTTCGTTCGGGCATATTTGAAACGTTAATTTCGTTCGTTTATAATTTGCGTCGCAAAAGGCTGATTTTTACGGGTTTAATGCAATGGCCGCCGAATGAAATCCGAATGGAATCGAATTGGATGCAGGTGGAAACGAGGAAAATGTTTAATTGAAATATTCTCCAGCAAGGAAAATATTCAATTCATATATTTTCCAGCAAGGAAAATATTCAATTCATATATTTTCTAGCAGGGAAAATATTCAATTCATATATCTTCCAGCAAGGAAAATATTCAATTCAAATATTTTCCAGCAAGAAAAATATTCAATTAATTATCGAGCCTCTGTTTAATTCCGTTTTCCCCCAATTAAAGCTTGAATAATAGCAAACGTTAGATAATGTCAAAGTTAAATTCGAGAAAATGATCAGCCAGAATTTGTGCGCGAACCAAACAATTATTTGGCCATTCATTCGTCTCCCTGTCTTAATCCTCCATCTAATTTCGCTCCTTCCTATTGAATATTTTTATTTCTTCGTCCTTTGTGCGCCCGTAATCCCCGTAACAGTGTCTTTCTACGCGGGTCTCCCACTTTCCTGATTTGATCCCCTTAATCTCCGCCTGATCTCCACCTTTGTTATCTGGCATTTTGAGCCGGGCCCTTTTGCTTGTTCAACCTTCCCTCTGTTTTCATCCCCTCCTCCCGCCGATGCGTCCCGTTTTAAGGTCCTTGATTCTTAATCCCACTTCATTTCGTCCCGTTCCCCGTGTTCCACGTGTCTCTTCCGGACTCCCCTTTTCTAGGATTCTCGTCCGTAATCTCTCGGCTCTCGGCTCTCCTTTCTCTAGGACTCTCCTCGCCGAGCCCCGCTTCTATGGGACTCTCGAAGTCTTTCTCTCTATACGCGCTTCGATTTAAATACCGAAGCTCTGCTCTGCCCGTTTGTTCCGCTTCCTTTCCTCCCCCGCGCGCATGTTCCGACTCTCGTATTTCCGAACGAAAAAATGTCCACTATTTTCTAACAGTCGACTTTTTAAAAGAATAATAAACAGCATTACGAACGATCTAATTTATATATTTTTATCAGGACGGTCCGCCATTTTCGAGCGTCCAAGAAACTTTCGAGAGATTCTACGGTTTCGACTCGAACGGAGAATTAAATCGGAAACGCAATCTCCGTAAAACTTCGTTTAGCAAAATCCATAGCCATTAGTTCCTATACTTCCGTTTAATTCGCACCCTCCCTGTTCTCGCTCTCCTTAAGAGAGAAACGCGAAACAAGCTACCGCGCAAACCAAGAAACCATTTATATTCGCTCGAGTTTACTATTTTATATTCAAACGGAACGAATCGCCTTTCAGGAAGAAAACTCGCCGCGGAATGAAACTCGAAACACGATTCCGAGAAAAATTAATTTAACCGAAGCCGTAACCATTATTCTCGTTCGCAGTATCTTCTTTCATCGCCGCGTTGCCTCTCTCAGCCGCGGCCCTATCGTCTTCCCTGCATTTTCCCTTTCATCCTGCATCCGACTCCTGTTTTCCAGCCACTCTCATCCACGAAAAGTAACACACCCCGCAGACGAACGCGACGAGGATACACGCACCTGTGCTTTCATGCTCTTCCACTATATCGCGGGTCTCTCTCTCTCTCCCTCCCCCTCTCTCTCGCTCTCTTTCTCTCCCGCTTAAAAGGGAAATTAAAAAAGTAAAATGATTGCTGCGAGATTTAAATTCAGGGCGACGGAATCTGCAGGAAATAATGTAGATATTATCTATAATATTATGTAAATTAATAAATAAATAATTATTATTTAATAATATTATTATATAAATATTATAGGGACAATTGTCCCTCATTCTAAAATATTATATAAAATATTATAATATAATATATATAATATAATATAGGGACAATTGTCCCTTATTCTAAAATATTATGTAAATATTATATAAAGTATTATGTAAATATTATATAAAATATTATATTTATATTTTATATAAAAAAGTCAGCTCTCCACCTGGCTTCCGTCAAACGTTGTACGACTTTGGCGCAAGCATCGTCATTTTCTCTGGCACGAGGGGGTGGTTAAGGAAACTCCGGTGGCGGACGGGGAGAGCTTTGGCTCGGAGATTCGGTAGTCGTCGTGGGTGAAAAATCCAGGTCGACCGCAGGTTCATCGTCGTTTGAAGCGTTCCCCTTCTATCCCAAAGGATGGGCGATTAAAGCGTTCGCCAGCGGGCCGATTTACCCTTGGAAAACGCGTCTCGACGCCCCGCTCTCTCGCGGGCCGGCTTGCGCGCGTCTGCACGCGTCGCCGCCGGATACATGGAATAGGAAAACATTCGCGCGTCGGTGGAAAGCGACGCTGGAACGTAAATCTATGCTTTGAACAGCGTTTTTGGTCCTCCCTCTGGCGCGTCTCTCTTCAACCATCGGCCACGGCTCTCCCTTGGTCCACGGAGCACACGGAGTCTGGGAAGTGACATCAAAGAGGAACTTCGACGGCGCGGGAGGGAGGGGGAGAGGAAACGAGAAAGTTGGGGAGAGAGAGAGAGAGAGAGAGAGAGAGAGAGAGAGGGAGAGCGATAGAGAGAGCGATAGAGCGGGGGAAAACAAAAGAGAGCGCGTGAGATAGCGGGGGAGGGCAAAAGAGAGCGCGAGAGAGCGGGGAGAGCAAAAGAGAGCGCGAGGAAGAGCGAGAGAGCAAAAGAGAGCGCGAGAAAGAGCGAGAGAGCGGGGGAGAGAGCAAAAGAGAGCGCGAGATAGCGAGAGAGAGAGCAAAAGAGAGTGCAAGAGAGCAAGAAAGCGAGAGACAGAAAATATAAACATACACATTGTGTCATATACCCGGTGGCACAGTCGAACAGGACCCGATTGCACGCAAAAAAATTAATCCAAGAGAAAGAATAGCATTTTTTCATTCAACGCTCCGTTTTCGAGAAAACCGAGTCGAAAGATGCGCCCGGTTCGCGCAGCTTATAGCGTAACGAGAAGTAGAATCGGTGTGTAGCGACCAGATGCGCCATTTGACCATTTATCGAATCAATTAATATGCGAGCAATGTAAGCTTGTCGATGAACGTGGTCGATACGCGTAGTTGTCGACGAATGAAAAAAAGAATGCAGCATCGCGCTAAAATAAGATCCTTCTGATGAAACGTAGGCGATGCTTACGCATGCAGTTTGATACGAGAGACGCAGAAAGCAAATAAACCTTTTTCGTTTGGATTAAGTTCTTATTAGCACGAAGTTAATATTACAGATGCGTTCCATGGAATATCTACGTATACAATATTCTCAGGATGTTCGAACACATGTTTCATAAGAAATAGTGTATAGAACGAGATGCTTATTTTTCGACGATGACTGCAACGTAACAGGCCACAATGAATTTTATAAACTGAAATCACACGTTCGTTTATTCTCGCATCATTTACGTAATAAATATTCATGCTTCGTAACAAGATCGAAGCTTCTCGAGCTTCTTTACGAGTCTCGTAAGTGTTGCGCGTTACGTTACGTTTTTCTTGAATTATCAATGTTACCGACTTCTTGCAGTCTTTCTAATAGATTTTCAAAACCTTTTTCCCAAACTTATCTGTAAAAATATTGTATGTAAAATACTGCACTGATTAATTTTGATTATTTTTGCACGTAGAATCATCCCCTGGTCGGTTTTACCACGATTTTTCACTCACCCTGTATAACGATTTCAGTAGAAAAATCATATTCCTATTTTTGAATGTTTGCGACTTTTGCAACATATTCCAAAGCCATTAAAACTGACACATTTATCGTACAAAAATTTGAGTACGCTTAAATGGAACTAACATTTCAATTTTTTTAGGTTAGACGCCGCCTATGGATCGGTAATTGAGATCCTCTATCTACGAGTGACAAGACGACCGACCCGAAATCTTCTTCTGGACCACAGAAAGTAACAATTTCTTTCAAATATTTATTGCAAAAAGAAATCCTTAGATCTATCACTTATAATATGTATATCTTATAATATCATATTATAATATTTAAAATAGTTTCATTTCCTCTTCAATTTCAAATCCTCCGAAAAGAAAAAATCAGCATGAAACAGGAGACGCAATATTTTCAGAGATTTCAACGCCGAGAAACGAACGAGCCGCGCGGTGGCAGCGTCCAGCGATACATGAAATGAAATTCCTTCGACGATTCTACTGATCCAGAAGAGCAGAAGGGCCAGAGCGGTGCGTTTCACGGAATCCTGGTTCAGGGCTGCGTGAGATCCTCCGTCAACACCGTGAAAGGAATCCCTCGGCGGCGGGGGAAGGTGAAGGGGGAGATAAAGGTCTGGGCGCGTCGCGTCCCCGTAAAAAGAGAAATTCAAATTCCGCGGAGAGGCGTGACGGAATTGTTTCGCCGGACAAGGAGGCGGCGAAAAATTCGGAGACCGGCGACGATAAATTCGGATCGGCGCGGCGCGGCGGCGCGAATAAATCTCGGACGCGTCGAAGCGGCAGGCTTCGGGAGCCGGAAGAGTGTTGACAGAAGATCGCACGGGAGAATTCTAGCGGAGGGCCGAATCAATTGAAAGAAATACAGTGGAACAAAAGGAACGTTGATAAACGGTGAGTAATGGGAACGCGAATTGCCCCGCGTGACGAACGGACGACCGATGCAAATTCCGATGTCGGTATTCACGCGGTCTCGTTCGATGTCTCTGATCGTCTGATTTTTTAGGGGTCCCCTGGCTCGGAGGGAACACCCGGAGAAGACTCGGGGCAGTTTGGAGAACGAGACAGCAACAATTTTAAGTTTGAGAAATTTCCTGGAAGTTTGGAGAAGTGCGAGAAGGTTTGAAGAGGTTCGAGGAGGTTTGAAGAGGTGCGAGAAGCGGATCTTCGAAGAATTGGGAGAATATATGAAGAAGAGAAGGTTTGAAGAAATGAGGGAAAATTCGAGGGAATTTAATGAGGTTTGAAGCGAAGGTTCAAAGTGTAAGCGCGGGTTTGAAGAAGCGCGAGAAGGTTTGAGGAGGTTCCAAGAATTGGGAGAATATATGAAGAAGTAAGAGAAGGTTTGAAGCAAATGAGACACGATTTGAAGAAATAAGGGAAGATTTGAAGGAATGTGAGCAGGTTTGAAGGAGTACGAGAAGGTTGAAAGTGCAAGCGCAGGTTTAAAGAAGGAAGGGAATAAATAAGAGCGATTGTAGGAACACGAAGGGACGCAAAGAAGAGGAACAGCAAAGATTAATGACAATTTTGGGGAAGATTACAAGTGGGAGCACCGTAAGAAAAAGGGGCAAACAGGTGCGAGAGAAAGGGCCGAAGAAACAAGTCCGAAGGAGAAGATCTCGACAGAAGAAATAAGTTCGAAGAGTTAGGGATTTCGAAGCATTTGAACGATTTAAAAGAATTCCAAGTTGCAACGAAATTTTCGGAGAAGCGCAAATGTATTTCAGAGAGCGTAAGGAGCAAAGAGATTAGACGCCGGGGAAAGCTGGACGAAGGAGAGGGAAAGTTTTGTACGAGCACGTAAGTTCGTGGGGAAGATTTAGGAGAGAAGAGGATATTTACCTGGGAAAGGGGCAAACTTTGCTAAAAGTTCGTCCGAGAGAATAGGGATATTAAAAAGCGAGAATCATAAGATAGAAAAGAATTGAAATTATGGATCTAAAGTACCATCTCGAGAGGACAAATTTGCAGGAATATCAAAAATTCACGTGAAACGCTCGGAGAATCTTGGCTAAGAAAGCTTCGATTTCAATTCTTGCTAGGATTAGGAACTTGAGGCAAAAAAGAGACTTGTTACAGACTGTTGTTAAATGTAAAAGTCGTGATTGATATCACTCTAATCGAATATTAGAAGCACGCTGAAAATAATAGTTGTACAAAATAGAACTGAATATGCTCGAAAAGGAAGAAAATCGAATATCGGAGAAAGAGCTGCGAAGGTAAGAAAAACACCGAGAAATCGTGGATAAAACAGCCGGTCCACCGTGAATTGTAAGAGCAGCGAAACATATTCGTTCAAAGAAAACTTGGTAAGAAGTATAAAGCAAAGTATTCTACGCGTCGAACACGAGCAGAGAAAGATTCCCATTAAACGCAGCAGTAAAACTCGCGAAACGTTCGAAAGAATCATAAAGGGAATCTACGAAATCAGTTTAAACGGGCGAAGGAAATTGTAACAACGCGTTCCGTCGATAGGAAATGTAGTACAAATTTGCGGCAGTATCCCGCGATAAAAATCACAAAGTAATTAGGACGAAAGGGAAACCTGAAACGAGCGTAAAATAAATGAAAACAGACGCTGTAACGTTCAAAGTAGTTCACGTCGATCTCCGATGGCACTTTGCGACTGTTAAGCTTATTATAACGATATATATTATAACGAGTTATCATTCGAGGCCATCAAACGATAACAGAAACCCTATCGAAGCCGTCAAATGATAGCAGAAATCCCGTCGAAGCCATCTAATGATCGGTGTCGGCCATTTTCTTTGATACCAATTTCCCTCTATTGTTCGCGTCGCACCGATAAATAAACCGCGAGCGAATTCGAGCGATGCCGCAACAACGACGCCGCGTTTGCCGAATAGTGTGCTCTGTACGTTTGGTCGACAGATGAAGTGGATCCTCGTAATTGTGTCGTTGATACTGTGACCAAAATTATGATGGCGCGTGCGGGGGTTGGCGTCGCCGGCGCTGGGATGCTGAGGACCAGGCGCAGGGACATTAGCGTGAAACCGAACAGGAAACTCGACCGGAAGTCCTCCAGAGGAATGATCTACGAGAACGAGGAGCTTCGACTCAGGACCATTCACATAAACGCCGAGGTCGAACAAGGTAAGATGTCGATGGATCGGTTTCTATCGCTTTGAATAGCTAAAGTATTTTTTTCTGTTGTCATTTACTCTAAAACAATGAATTCATTGTTAATATACTCTCAAAAATTTCGGAGATTGTTTTACTTTCGAGAAACGAGTTCCTGGGGCCATTTGAAGTAACTTTTTTCTTTACAGAAATTTCCTCCGAGGCCTCGTTTACGAGTTATTAGCGAAAAACGCTGGTCAATGTGCGGCGAGCCGATGCCCCGCCCTCGCGGGCACTGTTGCTGCGTCAGACGGCCAGCGCGACGCGGCATTGGCCGCGAGGGCGGAGCGCCGGCCGAGCTCGCGTCTCATTCGTCACCGTTTTTCGTTAATAACTCGTGAACGATGCCTCGGAGACAATTTTCGTAAAGGGAAAAGTTGCTTCGAATGGGCTCAGCAATTCTTGGGACGCCCTGTATAATCGATAGTCGATCGACGTGCCATCGAACGAGGATGAAAATCATCGTCCAGGAACATTTATGGCGCGGCGTTGGCAGGCCTGACTCCGCCGGTACTTCCCGCCGCAAATAGACGCCGGCGAACGCTAGATCCGTGCGTCGAATCCGCAGCGAACTATTTTCGAAACTTGGTCAAACGCGGCAAGTTTTGCCCGGTCGCCGGCAGTTCCAGCCGTCCGAGAGCTTATGCGAATTTTGCGACAGCCTGCTCTGGATAATTCGCGATCGATCTCCACCGACGAGCAGCCCGGAGGCCGTCGCGATGCCGCGAGTCGTAACGAAAATTCGGTGAATAACAGAAAACAGTTCGTTGTTTCTTCCCTGGTTAAAACTCGTGTGCACGGAGAACGTTCTCGTCGAACTGTTACCATAGTGAAGCCCGCTTCCGTCGAAGCCCGTATATCCGGAAATGAACGGTGAATATGAGAACGGGATCGATAATATCGTGATCGAACTGATTTTTCTGCTGAACAAGTGACTAGGCGATTCTTGGGATGGTAAGTGAGGGATCGAATCCTTGTTTGGATGTGTTCGTTCGATTTAGGATCTGCTCGGTTTCCAAAAGAATTCAATATAACAAAATGAAAAGATCTGATAAAGATATTGTAGACGAATTATTAATTTAAAGAATGGTTCTAAAAAGTATTCAAATACTTTTCGGAAGCTAGTATAGAATAAAAGATAAAGAAGAAGTGAACGAAAGAAATATTTTTTTAAAAAGATATATGTTACGTATTCACTAATTTTCTGTAACGATACGAAAGCTGTCAACACTTTATTTACTAACTTTAGTCACTGATCTTTTACCAGCTTTCAGAATTCATTTTTATTGCAATATATTCGAACAAATTGAACTTTACATGAACGTCGAGACCGCGAAAAAGTGAAAACAGCATCCCCTACGGCAAATTGTAATTGTGTACGTTCACTTTCATTAACCAAATTACTCTGATTTCGTGGGAAATATAATTTATACATTCCCTTAACTTTTTGAAATTTCTCTTACATTCCAGATTGTTAAGATGCATTATTTACTACATTTGCCGTGCTTATACTCAGCTTTATTTTTTCAAACAAACATTTTCACAGCTTTCCTCGAAATCACAGAAAGAGAGAGAAAAAGAGAGAGAAGGCGAGAGAAGCCGGCGAAAACAAACAGCAGAGAGCGCTGGTGTAAAACTCGCGCGAAAGAGGATAAGGGAAGGTTAAACGGCGACAAAGAGGGGGCGGCAATAATGGAGGCGTTTAAACCGTGTCGAATATTATTCTAGAGGCGAGGAAACACGGGAAGCCGGCCGATTTTCTCGAAATTTGTTTACCCGCCGCGCCAAGAAAAGCTTTGTTCTGGCAGGCATACCGGCGCGGTGGCTCGAAGCTTTTGGGAAGCCCAGATGTCGTCTCGATACGGATTCCTCCGTAGTGACGTCCCCTCTCCGCTGGCCACGCGGAAACCCGTGTGCTCGAAAGTCAAAACAGTTTCGACGTCCGGTGATATGTTGACGTTGCGCAAGATTTATTAAAGCGGCGCCCGAGCCTCGATGGATTTCGATGGAGGATCGAGTTCAAAGCGCGCGCGCGACCCCCGCCGCCGCCGTTCTCCCCGTGATGTACCCCTTTCGTACGATGATCACAGAACTTCATGCACTCGACTGGTAATAAACAGAAGAAATTCCTTGCAAGTTTCGCCGGGATTCGCCCGTTTGATTGCTGTCGCACGTGGCACACTCTGACCCTTTGATTCTTAAATGTCAAACGGCGCGCTTTGCGTCTTCGCGTTCGATCAGCTATTTCCGATTCCGTTGGGGATGTTCGATATTCGATTATTCGATATTCTGCCGCGCGAAAGATGCGAATATTCGTTGATGTGATTTTTTTCTTTATTGAAATATGAGCTAAATATAATAGATATAGGAAAATATAGCAGATAATGCAACTTAAAAATCTAGGCTATAACAGAAACTTAAAAATGGAGAAAATAGAGAATTATAAATTACATTTAAATCCGTATAAAAATTATATTTGGATCTCCCACCAAAGGTCAGAGTAATTTGACTAGTGAAACTGAAATTGAAAAATTACAATTTGACATAATGGATGACGTCATTTTCACTCAATTTGTTCGAATAGTGGCAAAATTAGTGGCATTTATCAGTGAACAAAATGTGTAAACAGCTTTCGTAGTTGTATTTATTATTAATATTCTGTCGCTTTGCTCGTAATTTAATGGAATTCTCGAAAGCAATCCTTCAACTCGTTGAAATTCTTAAGAAAAGAAATAAACTTTTACGATACTCCTGTTTCTTTGAGAATTGCTCCAAGAAATTATGACGTCGCATAAAATTTAGTAATGGCGGAAGCTTGTGTACACAGCCGGTCGCAGAAGCATACCTGTCGGCTACCGCGTGTTTAAAAAAAGAACAGGCGCATATTTGATGAGTGTTGATTAACTTGTCAGTGAAAAAGTACACGTGTCGCGACTACTCGGCCGAGTGTATTAAAATTCATAATATTCATGGAATCATAAAATTTATAATATTCGTAAAATCATAAATTTCATAATAATATTCAAGAAATCATAAAACCTATAATAGTCAAGAAATCATAAAATTCATAATAATATTCAAGAAATCATAAAATTCATAATAATATTCAAGAAATCATAAAACCCATAATATTCAAGAAATCATAAAATTCATAATAATATTCAAGAAATCATAAAATTCATAATAATATTCAAGAAATCATAAAACCCATAATATTCAAGAAATCATAAAATTCATAATAATATTCAAGAAATCATAAAATTCATAATAATATTCAAGAAATCATAAAACCCATAATATTCAAGAAATCATAAAATTCGTAATATTCGTGAATCGCTAAATTCGTAATATATCGTTCATTTGATACGGACGATTAAATTTGAGTAACAGCTAGCTCCCAGAACAATTTTATTACATTTTTCACTACATTTGCCACTGCATTTCGAATCAAGGCGTTGCACCAGTCTCTGATAAAAAGAGACCACCGAAACGGTTACCGTTGAAATTATATTTCCACTTAATCGAAGCGAGAGGCGACGCGACGCGACGATTGATCCGCGCTATATAACATCCTGAAATAAATCTTGACAATATCGTTAACGTTTTTTCGAGGTTTTCCGCAGCTTTTCGGGACGAGCGGCAATTTTCTCGGAGATCTCGTTCTCCGGCAGCCGTGCAATTAAATCAGTCGCGGGGAGGAAAAGCAACAAAAACAACAATATTTCGTTAGCCATGGGCTGGAGCTTTTTTCACCGTGCTTTTGACAGACGCTGCGAGGGTGCGCCGACATATTAAATGACCATCCGAAGGGAAAAAAGTGCGCCTGCGAGCCGGCGAAACGCGAGTTTCCGGTTTCGGTTGTTGCACGGTTTGACGTTCAACTGATTCGTACGCAAAATTCAATCGTTCCCGGCGAAATATTTCTGTTATCCGCGATGTTCCGACATTGTACAACGCATTCGGTAGATTCGACTTATAGCGCGGTATCGATAGCTTCGTAATTTAATGAACTGCATTCAACCGGGCGCCATAACGCAAGATTGTAATTCAAGTGAAACTGGTGCGTCACGAAGGCGAAACCGTCGTAAATCGCGCGAACATTGGAATAATAAAACGAAATGTTGACAAACAGGTCGATATTAAAGTATGATGTAATAAATATACGCAATTAGCCGCGGAAGTGGTTCGCAGCTGTGCGGAGCAACGGTTATTTATTGACGTTCGTTCCGTTTACTGTGAATCGAATTTCACAGTTTTCACGGTGCGATTCTTGTTGCTGCATAAAAGCTAAGAAAATAAATGTGGTAATCGAAAGGATACGTTAATACGGTAAATGAAGTGAAGTAAGAAGATACGTTGGTTAGACGTGTCAAATAATTGAACAGCTACGTCGATAAATAAAATATACGTAACGAATACGTTAATAGGATAAATTCGAAGTAACCGAGAAGATAAATGAAATAAATAGAAAGACGTAAGATGAAATAAAAAGACATAAGATATAAGATAGTATAAAATATGAGATAATATAAAAGACATAAGACATAGGACAAGATAAATGAAATAAATAAGAAGACATAAGATATAAGATAAATGAAACGAACGAAAAGATGCCCAGATAAATCAATTTCTGCATATTTTATGCGGATTAAGAACCAGATCATTTTTTAAAAAATGATTAAAACGTAATTACGATCCGATACAGTTCCGAAATTGTGATACAATAAAATTGTATTCGTCGATAGCTTCGCGGATCCGCGAAGTACAGTAATGTCTCCCTTACCGACGCTCAGATTGCCCACTAAATTGTATAATTTGGGAAGAGGAGATTATTCGAGCCTTGCGGTTCGTTTTTATAATTGTGGACAATTTATAACTATAAAAATAAACCGCAAGGCTCGAATAATCGTATCTCCTCTTCCCGAATTGTCCATTTTTGTACGCGATCTGGGCGTCAATTAGAGAGATATTAT